TTCCATTGTTCTAATTTTAATTAATTCTAGAAAAAAACCAAAGTCCCTTTAAACCTGTTGCCGTCGAGTCGATTCCAATTCATATCAACCCTATAGGACAGAGTAGAACTGTCCCATAGGGTTTCCAAGAAGCAGCTGGTGGACTCAAACTGCTGACCTTTTGGTTAGCAGCCGTAGCTGTTAACCACTTCGACACCAGGGCTCCAAGTCCCTTTTGTAGGTTTGAGTAAAGTTATTTAAAATGGGGCAATGCAAATTTCATATAAATTTAATCAAGATGAATGTACACATATCTTCTAGGGAGTTAAAGAAACTTTAACAAAAGTTCATTCATTAATGAAATATCTGAAAAACTCCTTGATTGTCAGCTCCTAGAGGGCAAGAAGTGTGTTTACTGAATTAATCTTATTTATCTATAACAAGTGCTATATTAGTAAAGACACAGCAGTCATCAAGAGAATTAAGAAAGCACTGAATATTACTTTTCAGTAAATGCAGTAATGTTTGTTTTACTTTTATAATAGTTTTAAAGCACTAATTTGTAGTTAGTTTCTTGTTATCTTGCTGCCATTTGATAAAAATGAAAAGGTAAATTATTCTGCAAAATGAGCTCAGGATTAATTTTCACACACACACACAAATGTTTTTAGTAGTTAACAAATTATTCCTTAAAATGGACATTATTTCTTTTAAAGTGTGTTTGTGGGGGGTGGGGGGATTGCAGTGCACAGAGCTGCAGTATATTTAATGCTTATTTTACTTCAATGTTGTCCATTTCAAATCAAAATGGTGTGGAGCATTTTGTGAATTGGTTCAAAATGTCGAATGCTACTACCAAAGCAAACTTGTTGCTGTCGGTGGATTCTGACCCATAGCGACCCTACAGAACAGGGAGAACTGCCCCATAGGGTTTCCAAGACTGTAATCTTTACGGAAGCAGACTGCCACATCTTTCTGCCGGGGAGTGGCTGGTGGGTTCAAACCACTGACCTTTCAGTTAGCAGCCAAGCACTTAACCACTGCCCACCAGGGCTCCTTTCAAATGCTACTAGAGCCTATAAAATTTCACTATCTCTAACATCTTAAGTAAGGAGCCACTCCTTGGGAAAAAGATGTGGCAGTCTGCTTCCATAAAGATTACAGCCTTAAGAACTCTATGGGGGCAGTTCTACTCTGTCCTGTGTGGTTGCTATGAGTTGGAATCCACTCGATGGCAATGGTGTTAACATCTTAAATTAAATGCTAATGGCTATATCCATATAGCCTGATTTTCTGAATTCCTCTCTGCTTGTCTCACTTTAAAAACTACAGACAGATTTCAAGGTGCCCTGATTCCAAAATGGAGAGAGACAGTGAGAGCCAGAGCACGTGTTGGAAATGTTGTCTCTAAAGAAACTTCATTTTATGTTCCATGGAACAGAAATAAGCCCCTAAAACTCATGTTCTATATTCCATACTACCTCCATATCAGGCAAAGCTTGCAAAATACCAGAAGGATGCCAATGACCCCATCCTCCATCAATTAAATCGGAAATACTTGACTATTTGGTAAAGGATAAAGAACAGCCGCAAACATTTTCATCTCCTCCAATAAATCAGGTTAACACTTCTATATCAGTGATAGTCAGTGTGAAATATACCTGTCTTTTTTTTTCAAGGGGCCCATTAGCAAATCTAGTCACCCCTCCCTATCCATGGTTAGATTCACAATTGATTTATTATAAGCTGGGCGAAGACTGAAGGTATTAGAAATGTCACTGGTGATTTCCTCTTCTTTCCAATTAAAGGTATTGTACTGTACATAGGAAAGTGAGTTTCTCATTTCAAGTACACAGTGGGGATAAACAAACCTGAGAATACTGTGATTGTTTTCATTAAGTATGGTTCACATGGGCAGCATACATCAGTGCAAACGAAGAACAAAGAAAATGTATTTCCTTACACGGTGGAGGGAATACAAAGTGACACAGCAATATGATCTGCAGGTGGAGGGAATACAAAGTGACACAGCAATATGATCTGCAGTGCACTGATACACTTAATAAAATGCAAAAGGAAACATATATACCCATATGAAAGGGAAGTCCACTTGATGTCAGAATGACAGATCTAGCCAGTCTAAAATGAGCCTCTGTGCTTAAGAAAGACCTCAGTAAAGAAGGTGTTAGTCATATCTTTAAAGCCATGTAAGGGAAACTCCAGCATTTTTAAAAGTTAGTTTCACAGCCCCCTGCCAAAGAATATTTATTAAAACATTTATGAGAAATTCATACAAAATTTAGAAAATGCAATGCAAAATTTAGGAATGCAGCACATTAACAATATATATGAAAATAAATGAGTCAATGGAAGGGAAGTAAATTGGGAGAGCATATAAAAAATTGCATTTCCACATGAGAAAAGACCTGACCAGCTGTTCCTGTAAAGATGAAAGCCTAGGAAACCCTATGGGGCAATTCTACTCTGTCGTATAGGGTCACTGCTGTGAGTCAGGATTAACATGATGGCACATAACAACACAACACACTTAAAGAAAAGGGAATGGGTCACCAGATAAATGAGGCTTTTATTTAAATATGTATCTACTTATGTTAATATTCATGCTCGTATCTGATGTTTATTTGGTATTTAGGACCAGTCACTCCTGGCCCATCTCATTTATCTCCTTCCTTAGTCCTAGTCCTAACTTCATTCGTTAATTTATTTAGCGCTTAAACCCTGGCCTGAGCTAGGTTTCTTCACTGACAACCAAATAATTGCCAACAAAGGAGGCACGACTCAGAGAAGCTGAGACTGTGGCTGTCTCCCTGGTTATTGAGGGCACTGGAGGAAAAAATAGGCTGAGTCCAAATGAATTACTTTAAATACAAAGGAGAATTTTTTCAGAGCAGGTGTTTAAAAACTAGAGAAGATTATTAAGGGAATCTGAGAAGACTTCACAGATGGACTTAAAAGTGATTTATTCTTCTAATCACAAACCTCGCAAAGTTACTCTTGGTATTTATGTTATTTGATTTTTCACTTCCTCTTTGTCCTTGGTGATATAGAAATTAAATAAGTTCCATTTGGGTTACAAAATGGGTATCCTCCAAACTGAGATAAGATGCAACTTTCTTCCCTGACAGAGCAAACCTTTCAAAGGAGGTCTTTCTCAATAACAGAACTAGAAACATGGGTTGGTAATATGGTGTTGGTAACCTATGCCTCACAGTTTCTCTTGTACATGCCAAAAGGCAGCTAAGAGGGTTTAAAGGGTCTGAGGACCCATATTCACTCAGTCTTCAAGATTATCAATGGAAAATCATTACTATTTTTTGACTTGGTCACATGGTGATTAGCAAACAGCAGATATCCAATAAATACTTGATGATTTGAACTCAAAGAAGGCATCAGTCCAGTCCAATTTTGGCACTGACTTGTGAAATAATCTTTACCCAGTTGTTTGGATTCATTATACCTAAGTTTACTCATTTGTGAATGTACCCGGTAGTCTTCTGCCCCATGCCACATGGGCATGAGTAAAGAGAGCAAATCGTATCAATAAAAGGCTTTAGGTCTTTCAAAGTAGGCATCAGATGAATTACTGGTCAAAGCCAAAATAATACCACCTATAAAGTTTGCTTACCAAAAAAATCTAACCTAAATCTGATCAAGCCTCTAATCTAATTACCAACGTTTAGGAAATACTGAGTACAAAGGAACACACCACGGGATGCAGGAAACTATAGAGGACAAACAAAAAACTGCAAGGAAAAAAAGTACAAGAAGTAGGAACCTATAGATTTATAGGGATTTGAGAGACATAGCAAACAACTGCAATTTATGGACTTCCTTTAGATTCCAATTTGAACAAACTGTTAAAGATCATAAAACAATTGAGTATATTTGAACTCTGACTTGATATTTGAATATAGGACCAAAAAAAACCCATTGCTGTCAAGTCGATCCCGACTCATAGTGACCCTACAGGAGAGGGTAGAACTGCCCCATAGGGTTTCCAAGGAGAGGGTGGTGGATTTGAACTGCTGACCTTTTGGTTAGCAGCCTTAACCTGCCATAGCTCTTAACCACTGTGCCTCCAGGGCTCCTTTGAAGATAGTAATTATTATTAATTTTTCTTCATGTGACAATGGTATTGTGGTAATGTTTTAAAAACAAATGCTTGTAAATATAGTAGATTTACTCATGGAATTATTTAGATGAAATGATACGTCTAGGATTTGCTTCAAGATAAACTGGGATGGGGATGGGGTATGTGAGCATATGGATAACAAGACTGGCAATGAGTGAGTAACTGTTGAAGCTGGGTTATGTGTACTTGGGGTTTCTCTACTTTTTTCATAATCAAAAGTTTTTTTTTTTAAGAAACAAAGACAAAAAAGTAAACTAAAATAGATCTAAAACCATACTGCCAAATAATCAGCAAGAATGGGAGAGAAAATAGGAATGAAGGATTAGGACGGCACGAATAGCTGCAATTCACAGATAATACAAAAACTTCATTTTAGACAATAACTTAAATCCCTCCCCACAATGCATAGCATGTCTATACCCTGGTAGCAGGATGGATTAACTGGACTTCTACTTCCCTTGCCTTGTCTTTGATGAAATGCATCCTAGGCAGGCAGGCCAGGGTGAAAGAAAAAGCAAAGGACCTGGATAAACCACAAACCGTGCAGTACAATCCATGAATAATCAAGAGCTGATAATCTAAACAATAGAAGGTTTGGTGTAAATAGAGATGTCATGGGCCATTAATGTTCATCTTGAATTTTCACTCCACTAATCACTCATAGAAAGTCATAGAAAGGTCAATTACTTCCAATTACATTACTCTCTATAGAGTAGGTGCTCAATAAATGAATGTTAATTAGCTAAAATGACATCCTTGGCTCAATCATTCAATTACACATGGTCACATTACCAAAGCTTGATTTTTAAATTTATGGCATAATGAAAAGTGTTTTTTTGATACTTCCAACATATGAGGTGTGTTCTACCTGATATCCAAAGAAGACCGTCAGCCACGTATCCAGCGTGACATGAAAGGGATCGGTCAAAGGATTGCACAAACATCCATTTGTTCTTCTTGGGGCAATATCGCTCAACTGTAGGCAGAACCTGGCGCAGTTCATTCCTGCCCCCAACCGCGTAGAGGTACTTATCCATGGCACCGAGCACAAAATGCTCCCGGCAATTTTTCATGGGTGCTATCTCTGCCCAGGAATTACTGCGGGGATCATACCGACAGGCAGTCCTCACGGCACACGTCCGGCCACTGGCATGCTCAACCTCCCCTCCTGCTACAAACAAAAAGTCTCCCATGACTGCCACACAATGGTGGCTCCTTCCCACAGGCATGGGAGCTAGCTCACTCCAGTTGGCAACAGTGGCTATGAGAGCATTCTCCTGATCAACAGGATTGAAGTACCGAAGTTCCTTGACTTTACAGATCTCACGCTTCTTCCCACCAATGATGTATAGAGTGTCTGACTGGAACCGTGGTTTGGTCCTACCAGTCTGCCAGACAGGCTGTGCATAGATACTCTGGTGATATTCCAGGGCCTCGTTGACAAGGGCTGTTGCAGTCTCACTTGCTTGGACCAGGGGGTGGGACAAGGCAACTGTATGGAGAGTATCCACATCCATGAGGCCAAAGCGGATGTACTGCAGGAGCTCATCCATGTACTGGTAATGGCAGTTGTGTTCCAACCACCTCACAGCTAGCTGGAACAGAGGGAGGTGAGATAAGAGAGGAATACAAAAGTAAGAAAGAAAGAGCAAAATCAGCGGCATATAGGGAAATCACCATGTATTCTTTCAGCTACTTAATAGCGTAATTTTTTTATCTTACAAACAGAGTAACACGAGAATATTTTGATACCTATCTGAGGATTATTTTTTTTCCTGCATCAGCAGAGATACAGAAGAACTCAAGATATTGCTGTGGGGATTGGGAACAATGTTAAACAACAATGATGGGGACTCACAGTATCATATGGGGTGACTAATAATTGCTTTTCAAAGAATGATAATACTGTTGTGAAACAGCCTTTCTCTTATGTTTCCCGCATAAGGGGGCTTGGCACACGCCACCCTCATGAAATGTCAACACGGAGCAGTGTCATCACTGCTCAAGCAATATATGTCAACCCAGAATCATGGTGCAATATCAATACAAGTAACATCAGAAAACATGCGATCATCTGAGACTACAGGGCGTACTTGAGAGAAAATCAATATGGCACTAGTAGAATGATTTAGATAGAAAAAAAGACTGTTTTCCCACCCCTTTGCTAGCTGCAGCAGTCAGGAAACGAGGAGAAAAAGTAAGGTTACAACCTATCAATTTTATTTTTTTTTCCCTCAATTAGTTTCCGTCTTGTCAACATTTGTTGTTTGCACATGTAAGATACTGGCAATATGTTAGGGCCATTTTCACAAAAACAGGATATAGAAAAGATTATCTTTGTATTCTGGATACAACAACAGAACATATCCTAAACTTTTTGTTTTCCATTTTAGGATGTCTGTCAAGAGGGAAAGGAGTAAGATAAGATCTTTTGGCTACAGATAAATTGAATTCTTAAAGTTAAAGCAGACACATAGGGAGTGAATAACAAAATTGAGTAATAATTTAAAAACAAATACCGTCAACAACAACAACAAAAATCCATATTATGGAACACCTGAAGTAATTTAATTAATCTGACTTAATCTCTAAGTTTTGCAAACCTTCCTACACATCAGTATAAAGAAGCATATCTAATTATCTCCAGTCAAGTTTATTCAATATGAGTTATTCTTAGCAACACCTACATTAAACTAGATCTCCTGGACAAAATAAATGTGGATCTGAAGGAATTAGCATGAAGAAGTAAAACGATGAATTAGAAAACTGAGTAATTTTGTCGTGTTTTACTTGCTTTCTGAGCCATGAACAGGGCATTTGGTCTTCCTTGTTCAGCTGATGCATATCATTGGATTAAAAAAGGAAAAAAAAAAAAGTCTACAGAGGGAAGGAGAAGGAAATGTGGTGCTGAGCATTACTCCTTGGTAGACACGACCTGGGTTTTCATCCTGGCAAAAAGAATCGCTGAACTCTTTCAGGTACTAGATGATTTCAGAGTTTCCATATCTATTTACAAATGGTTTCAAAACGCAAGGTGCATTTTGGGCTTGTCTTTTTAGCTTCCTGAGTGAAGTGAATATAGGAAGTAAATTCATTTCCAGTATGCAGTGAAATGTATCTCTTAATGAACTGCATAGTAAAGAGAAATGAAAAAGAATGTCCCTGGATGCCAAGAAGCCTACCAATGCCGTGGAGGACAGATGAGTGACACTCTCTAGCTATTTAGAAGCTAGTGGTTTTTATTTAAATAAGATACCAACCTGAAGAAAAATAATGTATCTGTATACGGCAACATCAGCAATAATCAAAGACATTACAGAAGAAAAACTCATCAATCACCAGGTCTCTGCCAAAAGTGCAGAAAGTTCCTACAGGCAACATCCTAGTTTTTCTCCTTCCTAATTTTAGAAGTTTCAAGGGACAGGGTTCCAATTATTTCCCTGGGGAGATAATTCAACAATTTAATATACGATTTTCCATTCTTTGCTCATAGGACTTTCAAAAGTTCTCAAGGATAAAGTCATCCCACTCAAGGTCATTTCTCATGTACCGGGTGAAATTTTCTGAAACATAAACTTTGATATCGCTCCTAACTTAATTGAGTAATTCCAGCTGATATTGCTTTGCTGTGTAATGGATTTCTTAGCATCCTTACACCCTTACATTTCTGCATCTTTTATATAGATACTACAGAAAAAAGCACTGGAGAAACATTAGATAAATACCCATGTCTCCATAGCCTCTTTTTATAGCATAGTGCTGCCCATTTAATTATTTTTCTCTCTGCTCATAAATCAGTTCTTCCTATGCCATAATCAATCTTCCAGCCCATCTCTGAACCTTCTCCAGTTTATCTTCATCTTTCTAGCAAACAGTGTCAGTTACTGCATGAAAAGTACAAAAGCCCCAACTATGTTCTGCTCTTAAGGAAAACTCAGTGGAACAGTGACCACCATGCTCTGTTACTGATTAATTTCTGGCTTGCTGTCAACTCTTACTCCTATGTCACATGTATCATGATGCTTTCCATGTTTAATTTCCCCAAATACCACGTATTACAGAATATTTTCAGCACATACATTATTTTCCACTTTCTGTAATGATTTTTATTGTTTTCCTTTCAATATTTCTAACTCCTCACAGATTTAATATAATTTTCACACCTTTACCATCTATTAATATTTTCAGACTACAAAAGTCATTTGTACTTGTTGGGTTTATCTTTTCTGCAGATCAAAGGGGAATGTAATTCACCGCTAACTATCCTGTCACCAATTTCAAACCAATCTCACCTAGGTATAGTGTTACTTATAGATTTAAGTTCAGTGCTTCTCAAACCTAACGTGTACATGAATCACCAGGGTTTTTGATAAAAATGCAGATTCAGATTCAGTAGGCAGGGGGTGGAGAGATTGGGAGTTTGCATTTCGAACAAGCTCCTAGGTGATATGAATGCTGCTGTTTCACGGACCACACTTTGAGTAGGAAGATTTTAGACAGATTTCCATTCATAAAAACTGTGTTTTCATGCCATGCTGACTCCATTTAAGTACTTTAGGAAGCTACATTGACTGTTCAGTTCACTCAGGTAAATTACTTCCTTATTAAAGTAAATTAAGTTGTTGTTTCAATTTTAAGAAGGTATAAATCTAATGAAATCTAAGGATTCTTTAGTTAACATGTAGGATACTTAATCTAGCTTAGTATTATGGGTTAGATGTCATGTTTGGACATGGTGGTTCTATAAAGTCAATAAATCAATGGCTGATTAAACTGATTTACTTGACAAATGTAAAGTAAGTCATATAGATACTGTATAGTTTTGCTTTTTCAATAAATAAATAAATGCAAAAGTATTATTGTACTCTGTTTTTACTTTCGTGAAAACATAAACATGACTAGGTAAGAGAAAACCTGCTAAAACTGTAGATAACTCGTTTATCCAAATAATGAAAGACATGGCAAAGAAAATGCAGAACAATGGGGACTGCAAAATCACTTCTACAGTGTCATCTCACCATAGCACTATTCATGGCTGCACTGAATTATGGGCAAAGCGGTGGAGGGCATCCAGGGACCCATTTAAGGAGCCTAGAGACCAGAGTAGCACAAGGCAGATTCATTAATGGGGCATCATGGAGCTTAAAGACCACAGTTTACTTTGGATAGTATCTTGGTGCTTAGGTTTGAAAAGGGTTATTGAGGGAACTTGTAGCTTTTAAAATAATGACACTATACTGAGAAAGCATAACACCAGGGAGGATGATATGCCATTCTATCTTACTTATTCTGGCAAACTGACTTCCCCACACCTTAAATGCTAGCATTTAATGGGGGAAGAATAAAGAAAATATAGCCAAAGTCTATCTCCCATCTTTTAGGTGACAGAGTCAGCAAGAGTGGAAAAGAAATTACAGATGCAGTCTGGGAGGGCACAAAAAAGAATACTTACGAAACATGGACATTAGGCAAGATGTTTCCTAAACCATCGGAAAGACAGGAAACCCTCATCTCCAAAGACCACAGGAGATCTCCCAAGGACCCTACCTGGCTCAGTCTAGCTCATTTTATCCAGATGGAGAATTGTTCATTCTTAAAAGGAGCATTTGCTATAGCTTAATCCAACTTCAAAGACTTATCTCATCCTCAGATCCTTGATAAAGAGCAGTGCCTGGCACATACTTTGCTATAAATATTTGTTATATAAATAGAAAATTCTTCACAACTGTTTAGACCATTTCTCATATTTCTCTTAAGCAAACAGTACCGATTCCTTTTTACCTGTATATATTTATCTATCACAGGCTTCAGTTTCCTATTTTATAATCTCACCTTCATAACTTTCCTATAATGCCTTACAAATTCTCAAGACTTCACACTGCAGCATGCAGCACACTGACTTGCGTATGTAAGCCCTCGTTTTATTCCTTCACAAGCCTGGCGCTGACCACCTGTATTTGAGATTCTTGAGAATGTAATGAATATGATAGCCTTTTAAGCTCTCATATAAATAATAAAATATTTGGGCAAGAAGAAACTTTAGAGTCTATTTGGTTTAAGCTTTTCAGTTTTACAATGGAAACCATATCCAGGCAGGTTAACTGACTTGACCCAAGTTATGCAACTAATTAGTGGAAAAGCTGGAACTAGAACCCCAGTTTTTAAATTATAGAATGTGATTTTCTATTATATAACATTGTCATCTTTTCAACAACAATTATTTTAAAGTAGAATCTATGCAAATGCACTCAAGCCCCAACATAATGTGCATATTCTCTAAATTAGAAAAATAAAGTCTGCTTTTAAAAAGACTACATTTTGCTTCAAACTAGATTGACAGTACTTATCAACAAGTCTCATTTATTGGGTCGCTATGAGTCAGAATCGACTCGACGGCAACAGGTTTGGTTTGGTTTTGGTTTTCAGACATAAAGAGCATATTAAAGAGTTTGCAATTAAAGAACAAGTATTTAGAGAAAAGGGTGTCCTTGGAATCTCACATTATTATTTCACTTTTTATTGGAATACATATTTTAATTCTAGGTCATTCCTTGTTAACTAAACCTGGCTCAGGAATATATGGAGAAGATAATCC